GACAGAAAATGCAATAAATGACCTAGCTTTGTGTTTCAGTTGGCTGTCCAAATCTGCAGATAGTTCCGAAATCCTCTCTGCAATAGTATTCCTCATCATGCTGATGTTGGCAAAAGCTTGTCGCTTCTCGGGACATACGAGTTCTGCAGCCTTCAGCATGCATGTTTTGATGAACTCACTTTTGCAATATGGCTTTGATGCTAGCAATTACTGTATGTAGCTGGCTTTTACTGCTGCATCACTGACCTCTCGGCTCTGAGTGAAAACAGACTGCTGTTTTATCTTCTCTCTTCTCAGTTGTCCTTGCAGGCTGTTGTATTTTTCGCCATGCTGAGTCTCATAGTGGCGCCGAATATTATGTTCCTTGAACACCGAAACATGTTGCATACACACCAAGCACCCAGGTTTCCCGTTCACCTCTGAATAAATAGGAAGCGGTCCATTTTTCTTGGAAAACTCTACGCTCGGTATCCACTTTTCTCCTTTTAGACAAAGACATTTTGGCTAATGAGGGTGTGAAGGCGAGTACAAAAGTAAGCAGATGTATCGTAGTAATCACTGAACATTAGCTGTGTCTATCTCAGCATTGTTTTGTCTTTTTCTTCTTCTTCCTTCAGCTGCTCCATGTCTAAAACAGTGCAGACAATTTAGGAATAGCAGTTTATTAAAAAATTATTCTAGTTCATGTCTCATTGCATTTTTTCACTTTCAGATTTATCCTGCGGGCCGGATTGAACCCCTTGACGGGCCGGTTCCAGCCCGCAGGCCGTACATTTGACACCCCTGCTCTATACCATGGTGTTAACCAGTCCTCCCTCTCTCGTCTTCAGATGGTTCAAAACACTGCTGCTCGTCTTATGACAAGTACCAGAAACTATGAGCATATAACCCCGGTACTGGCCTCACTCCACTGGCTTCCAGTCCGTTTTAGAATTGATTTTAAACTGTTGATTCTTGTTTTTAAGGCTCTTAATGGTTTGGCACCATCTTATCTCACTGAATTAGTGCATTGGCACAAACCTACAAGATCCCTCAGATCTTCCAGCCTGTTTCTTTTAGACATTCCTAGGACCAGATATAAACGTTGGGGTGACCGTGCTTTTACTGTTGCAGCCCCTAAATTGTGGAATAGTCTACCTTTTAATGTTAGATCAGCTACTGACCTCATTACTTTTAAATCATTGCTTAAAACATATTTATTTGCCTTGGCTTGTAATGCACAGCAGGGCCTGATGTTTTCCTTTTAATCTAATTTATTGAACATGTGTCATCTGTGTGTCTGAGTTATTGTTTTATTTTTTTCCACTGAATCTATTTTATTTTAGTTATTTATCGCAATTTTATTCTATGTAAAGTACTTTGATCAACTGGATGTTGTTTTTAAAGTGCTATATAAATAAATTTGATTTGATTTGATTATTATTGCAATGAAATCCTGAAGCAAATGTGTATGTGATGAAAAAAAAAGGGAATTTATTATTTTGGTCGGTAAGAAATATGTTTGGCTGGTGTGAGCCCTCCTCCCCTGTACAGCGGTCACCCCCCATGGCAAACACAATGCATACCGCTTCCTATCTGAAAACAGCTTCACAGAGTAACAAGTATTAGCCTGTGCCTTGCTTTGGACCGCCTTCCAACTGCGAAGTTGTCGGCAACACAGGAAGGTCATTCACCCCACTCCCACCGCCATCAGCTACCATGATACCAGTTACCAAATAGAATCAAATTTTATTGGAAACACTGCAACTTGCAGTCGATATACACTCAAAGTCACTTTATTAGGCACACCTGTACAACTGTGTGCAATTCAATGCAACACTTCCACCTTAATGTCTGTGTTTATGAAGCTCAAAATGTTTCAGTTTTTGGTTAAACAGTCATAAATGTATAAAATCTAGCCACAGGGGTTGCAAGCCAGTGACTTCTGTGCCGGTCCCAAGCCCGGCTAAATAGAGAGGGTTGCGTCACGAAGGGCATCCGGCGTAAAAACATGCCAAATTTAAACATGTGAATCATCAGTGCGAATTCCATACCGGATCAGTCGAGGCCCGGGTTAACAATGACCGCCACCAGTGCTGTTGACCTACATGTGCAGAGGAGGGATAGTGGTTATATTGGTACAAGGATGTTGGAGACGGAGCTGCCAGGCAAGAGGTCAAGAGGAAGGCCAAAGAGAAGATATATGGATGTGCTAAAAGAGGACATGAATGTGCAGATTCTCAGTCATCCAGGTCATAGTAAACTGAAAAAACCTTAGAAAAATCAACTGGACTTAGATTTCTAGATCAAAGACGTTTCACCACTCATCCAAGAGGCTTCATCAGTTCTGTTCAGAACTGAGGCTTCATCGCTGTGGCGACCCCTAACGGGAACAGCCGAAAGAAGAAAAAGTCATAAATGTATAAATTCAACTATATGTTTATTATTGAGGTCATAGTTAAAGGTGGTGTTGTACTTGACTACATTATATTCAAAGGTGTTCCTAATATTTTGACCCTCTCACGTATGTAGGTGGGGAGGACTAAAATATAGACACCTCTGAATATTATGTAGTCAGTACAACACCACCGTTAACCTTAACTATGACCTAAATAATAATAAACATAATTGAATTTATACATTTCTGACAATTCCACCAAAAACTGAAACATTTCCAAACTTATAATTTGATTTAGCGCTTTTACCTCCTACAAAATCCTTGGTTATGTTAATTAGAATAGTTTGCAAGTGCACAATTTTAAACATAACAAGGCTGTAAAGACTGTATGTAAGGCTCATAGTGGCCAAAGTGTGCAGCTGCACTGCTGAGTACGCCGAGCAAATCCCTGGGTTTAGTGACAGCTGCCCATTCGTTGTCAATGAAAACAGAGTACCGTCACTCAGTACACCCCAATGTGTGAGACAGGGACTGAAAGAGGCCAGCACAAAGACAGCCCAACAGCTGGGAAAAGATCTATTCTATTCAGCGACAACCAGGCAAGATCCTGATGGCAGAGATTCTGAGCCAGACTCAAAGCTGTTAACATTTTCACTCAGGAATGGTATTGTGCAGTTTTATTAAGTTTTTACTTTTTTATCAGGAGGCAAAGTAACCACTTAGATTGCAAACATGTGGTCAGTCTATCCAAGTAATGCTAATTAAAAAATTTGTTCTGACATTGTCGGAGATATGAAAGCTGGTATCTGACCAATCTCGTTCAGAGCACAGCTTTCTGTCAGCGAGGACACCGGTGTTCTAGCTGCACATTATACTGTATCTGCATTTCCACTGCTGGAACCTAACAAGCTAGAACCGTGCTTCCCTTAACTGTCATCTGGCATAACCTCACAGATAGACATGGACCATCCTGCTTTGCTTTTCCATTGTATTTTGTGCTGTGTTGGTCTCTGTCTAGTGTAGAGAGGGGCTGCACTCCTCACACTCACAACTGAGCAGAGGTCATGAAGGAACACTCCACAGTGCAGCAATCAGCCAGTAACAGAGACTGTGTGAGCAGTTTATCAAACAGCTGTTGAAGAAGCAGAACACAAACTTGCAGAAATGTGGCGTCTTCGCTGCTTTGCCCGTGGTTCACTCAGTGAAGTCCCCGTTTTATCCCAGACCAACAAGTAGATGTATGTGATGTCCATCGATTTTCTTGAATAACTTCCAAACTAATAATGGTATCAGTGTCATTTCAAATGCCAGCAGTGGGTTTTCATGGCCAATCTATCACATTGTCATCATAGGGTCAAACTATCATGGGAATATTCCTTTTATAGCATTATGGGGAAAATGAGTTGCCCCTTGTCAGAGGTTTGCACTCTGAGTACTGACTGTATTATTCATTTAAAGCAAGTCAGCAGCAGCACTGCTGCTGTCTCAGTGTTGAATGACAGTAACAATACCTCCACATAAAAAGTAAGCAGAAGAACAGAGCAGATTTAAACTGTACTTAGGGAGACAGCAGTGGGGGACATGAGCCACACAGTGGGCGGCAGTCCACAGCGGCCCCACATGAGACCGTATCTCTCTGAACTCTCAGATATTCATAACAGCTTTGGTTTTAATTAATATTATGCTGATTTCACCATGGTGCACAAAAATACAGGACAAAATTAGACATATTGAAACCTGGATGATCCTGTATTATAAGGAAACTCCTATATACCCAGCAACCATTGGTCTGATGTCAACGCTATTTGAACTTTGTGTTCCTGGCCGAAAGGGGTCCACTTCAGACAGCAAAAACTGTAAAACGGGCACCAATCAAGTCAGAGTGAAAAGGGGCTTGAGCACCACCTGGAATCTATCTGTGCACATGCCTGCCACAAAGCTTTGTGCCCCTGTTAGTCTAGTTCTGAGCTACTACTATGTTTTCAGGCATAAAAAGTGCTACAAACAAAATGTAGGAAAGCAGCAACTAAACCACATTAAGTCAAGTCAAGATTTTTATTTGCCATGTATGTCACCAAGCGTAATGACAAATCCAACTCCAGCATGTGAATTACTAAGTGTGATGTTTGAAGTTCACTGGGAAAATACTATTATCCTATTTTGTGTATTGCTGTTTTAATGCTTTGTTGCCTTTATGTAACTTTTTATTTTAAGACTAAGTGTTGTTTATGGCTTTTGACTCCTTCCCTGACTCCAAAGGGGAGCTGCACAAGAATTCCTATATGCCTAGACTGTTTATGCATATATGGCAAATAAAAATCTTGACCTGACTTATTAAGTGTTACAAATTAGAGACGGCAATATTTCCAATCACCTCTGTGATTTTAAAACTGTTATAATCTTGTTATGATGCAGCTGCCTCTTGAAATTTCTGATTCATCAGTTGCAGAATTTAATCTAGATGCAACAGAGAAATAGTCGCCAGCTGTGATAATGACGATGGTCGGCATCAATGCTTGGATGGAAAAAGCTTAGTAATGGGCTCATAGTAAACATAAAAGCACACACAAGTTCAGGAAAATGAGTAGGCCTATAAGCAAAGGGGCGAGTGTAGAGGCCTTACCCAGGTATTTGATGCTGAATCCCCGAGGAGGATTGAGGGACCTCCGCATCCATCCCTCCCTCAGCACCTCTAGGTGGTCCTCCTTCCCCTGTATCAGCAGTACATGTTCGTCTATCCAGCCCAGGAAGAAGATCTCGGACACTGCCTCGGTAATCCGTTGATTCCACACATGGTGCTGGGTATTTTCTGCTTTGAAATCGGCAAAAATCTCATAGCCGGTGTGGTGTCTCGGAAGCTCGTCGCTCTCTGACACCCCGGCAGCCACCGCCGCCTCTCCAGCCCCAACCCTGGACAGCACTATAGCCAGGGAGTGGGGAGCTATCTGCAGGAAAGACTCCATTGTCGCGTCGGCCTTCTAGCTGTCTGTCGAAAACAGTTTGATCATTGTATTTACCGATCTGAGAATCCACCGGGGTTAAGGTAAATCAACCCGTCCATGTTAGCTAGCAGGATCTGTAGCTACAAGCTTAGCTTGTAGCACGCGTACAGCCCACTACTGTGTTGCCATGAAGCTATTCTGCTAGCTCCCGTTAGCCCCCGAACCTTACATGAAACCCATTCGACCACATTTAAGGTCAGTCTTCTTCTCTGCACGTAATATATCGCACCGTGACCGGATTCGGTATTTACCGCAGAGTCTCGTGGAGCGCTGCCCACCACAAAAGAGTGCTGACATTCGTGATTTCGGTGTAAACCTCGTTGTTATTCGTTGGGTACCTGGGGTTGTAAACAGCTAGCTGGATGCTAACGTGTTCATTCACCCAGGCAACAGATGCGGCCAGCCCCCCGCCTCCCTCCCCTCTCTTTCGTCGCCAGGCAGCAGCCCGGTATCTTTTTCGTTTTTACTACCCTTCACTGTTAACGAGGAGGCAAAATGTCTGCAACCGCGGAACACTATCTCCTGGCACGCTGCGGTACGGTACACGAGAATACAAAAAAATGCAGGACTACCTCATCCAGGTAGTGAGGATGGCTGCTTCTTGGAGTGGTAACTGCAACACTTCCGGACAAACTTTCAAATTAAAACCTACATTTACAAGCTGCCGACAGAGATAAGAGCCATTGTAGTAAACATTGTTCCTTTACATTTTTCGAGGTACAGTAAAACGTAGTGAGTTGATGAAATAAATGAATGTTGCCTCCGTTCAAAACACACCACTCTCATACCTTTTCTGAAAACTGCAGGTACTGCAAAGACAAAGACTGTAATCGTGCAAGTAAACCTTTATGCCTGGTTCAGACTACATGATTTCTTTTTGTCAGATACAGTGGTAAATGTGTCAGATTACACGATTATAGAGTCATACATTCTTGAACGAGGGATATGACAGACTACAAACTGATACCCGACAGTTTGCCGTCGTTCACGACCTGGAGGGTTGCAAACTATTTTCAATGAAGAGTAGCTAAACCACCCCTAGAAAAGTCACTAAATGTCAATAAGTGACACCACAGGCCACTTTGCATATATATGACATGTATGTTCTTATTTACACTGTACAGCACTTTGATTCACCCTGGTTGTTTTAGTGCTTTATAAATAAAGTTGGAATGGAATGGAATGACGTCACATTGTTGTATTTGCATAGCAATACATCCATGGGTGTGCTTCCAGTCAGAATGAAACCCATACAAACCAACTACGTGCATATTTACCAACAACTATAGTGGTCGTACGGGCAGGTACGTACTGTATGGTCATACGGTTTATATTACTGGTCATTCGTAGATTAAAATATTCTCAAAATTAGCAAACAGAAGTAATGGTCACTGTAATATAACATTGTAATATAGCAATCAAAGTTGGCAATCTGTTAATGTAATATTTAATTATGACAATATGAACTCACAAGCTCGCGTGGAAGAATAAAACAAAAGTTATTTGCATTAATTAAATTATAGACAATATCTTATTGACTGATGGTTCTAAACAGTGGGGCGTTTGCTACTAAATGATAAAACAGGAGACTTTGCAATGTGTAATTTTATTGAAAAGGAGAGATACAAGGAATTACAGCCAGAAGTGTATCACTGTGCACCACAGTTAGTGGCGCTAAGGACATGGCCCTTTGTGTACCACTGCCACATTCTTTCCTTTTCTGTAGGGGAGAAAAAAGTACATGGCATTAGAGCATTGGTGGTTTTTGTGTGCCCACATGTTCTGTATGCATCAGTATGAGTTTATATGTGTTTACATGCCTGTTCCACTGGCACAGATGACGCTCATTAACGTAGGTATTTCCATCACTGCCGCATACTGGATCATAGTGCTTGGTGCATACGCTTCCATATTTCTCACAGGCAGGCTGGACACAAGTACAGGCAGTCACACGGTTATTGATGAGAGCATTTTAAATGAGTACAGGAATCAAAAAGATTATGCTAAAACTAACTCGAACCTAGTGCAGATACTTTAAAACAGTAATGTGTGTTGACCTCTTCTTGATTCTCACACTCATTACCGTAGGTCTTTCCATCACTGCCGCATACTGGATCATATTGCTTGGTGCATGCTCTTCCATATTTCTCACAGGCAGGCTGGACACAAGTACAGGCAGTCACACGGTTATTGATGAGAGCATTTTAAATGAGTACAGGAATCAAAAAGATTATGCTAAAACTAACTCAAACCCAGTGCAGATACTTTAAAACAGTAATGTTTGTTGACCTCTTCTTGATTCCAGTGGTAACCCTAAGAGTTCTATACATTATATGCTTATATTATTATATTATATTAACTCATTTGGAGACATTTTAGAGCCATCCATAAACTATGCATTATTGCTAAGCACTAAATGGTGTAGCTTTAGGGCTTGAGACATACGCCTACAGGACATGTCCATAGCCTTTAGTGGAGAAGGTATCATTCAGTGGTCTATGGCGTTTTTCCATGTTAGCCACTATGGACACTCAGTGAAAAAGAATCTCTCCTTTTACTCTCACTTTATGTTTTTATGTTCAAAAACTATGAACACACCAGAAGCACCAATAAACATAAGTTTGAGTACATGGTTTGGAAAAGCCACTTGAAATCAAAATGGATATATATGGAATCACTTGGTTAAACACAGGAGTTTAATCTGTGGAGGTCAAATAAATCATCCGTCAAATTTTCTAAAAATTTCCTCAGTTAATGATGTCCCCTTCTTTTTTTATTCATTTGACCACCAGCAGTCAGTCTGTCTGCCTATCACTCACTGGGATGGTTTGGTATAAATTCATATTTAGGACCTCAATATAGATTAACAGTTGGAGCCAAGAAAACAAACACAAGGCCTTTTTCAAAACAACAGTGACTTCAACTAAAGAGAGGAACACTATTGCTGGAAACAAGGTGGACAAACAAGAGTGTAACATAAAACATTACACTGGCTAAATACTAAACATACAAGGGAACAGAAAGAGGCAATTCTAAAACTAGTAAGAGGGTGTGAATTAAACAGGCCTCTCTTAAAGATAAAGTCTCTAATAGTATAACACAAAAACCATAAAACCACAAGAACCTAAGGTGGGAGAGCTACACAAAAAGAAAATATAGTAATAGGTTGGCAGGTAAAACAAACAAAAAAAGTGTATCAAAATAAGAGCGGGGTAGCATTTCTGCTGAGACGGGTTCGCCCACCTTGTGTATAAATGGGACAAGGTGAAATGGGGGGGTTGGAGGTCCAAGAGAGGGAGAGCGAGAATGAGGAGAGAGAGTGGTGTCAGCGAGAATAAAGTGAATCAGAGAAATGAAATGTTATTCTGTAAATTTCACTGTGGTTACATTCCTAAACACGAGTAAACACAGCCACACCGCTGTGTGAATACAGCCAAGATGCACACTTCTGTCTATGATACTGTGCACTAGGGCTGGGAATCACCACTGCTTTCCTGAATAGATTCAATTCCAATTCACAACTCCCAGTTCAAGTCGATTTCAGATTCAATTCAGTATTGATTCAGTTCGTTTTTTTCCCCAGACATTCTAGACATCTGCCTTTAAGTGTGATGGTGTCTTCAGTGGAGTAGCCTCTGCCATGCCAGAGCTCTATGCTAACATTTATTTTAATGCTTAATTATACTACACCACTGTTCATTTTCTCGCCCAACAGCACAACTGCCAATATGGCACTCCAGAGGGCTTCCAAAAGTATCACCCCAGGAGTGGCTTGGGTAGGTCCCATGTTTGTAGTACATACTGCCCTCATCTGTGGTATAGTGGTTTTGAGTGTTTTAGGAAGTATGTGTATTAGCCCCAGGATTATATAATAGTTGCTGATATGCAAGCCATAGATTAAAGCTTGGCAAGCCACATGAAGCCACAATGAGCAACACTGGTATTGCAGCTTGCACCATGGTTTTCTCTTAGCAAAGCAGAAACATGTACTGTTCTAGTTTTTTAAAAAAGTTTACGTTTTGAGTGAGGCGGTCAACATGTAGAACATTGTACTTTCTGAGCCAATCTCAGCAGTCTGCTGTTGCAAAGGAAGCAAATAAGTGTAGTTTCCAAAATGTTGAACAATACTTTGAAGGCAACAGAACAGGCTGGCATACATGTGCATACACTCCAAAAATAGGTTTGGGGGTGTGAAAGACAAAATGAGGTTTCATGGATGGTTTAATTTGGTCAAAAATTTAAAATACCTTGATAAGTTGAAACATGGCGCTGGGGAAGTCTGCAGCAGTGAAAGCAGTTTTTGGAAAACTCTGAAAATCAATCCACTTACTTAAATAATGTAAATACTTAAATAAAAATGGAAAATCAGATTAGCTCCAGCAGTCTCACCTGTCTTGTTTTGGCAACATCATCTTGCTTTGCCTCAGACATCATCGTCTTATCACTGTCCGGAAACTGAGCCGCAAGGTCATCCTCCTCGGACAGGACTACAAACACACACACACACACACACACACACACACACACACACACACACATTGTGTTTTCATCACTTTGAGGGACATTACATTCTTACATTAAATCTTTGGAGATTTACCCTAACCTTAACCATAACCACTAGTTGCTTAACCCTAACCTAACCTTAACATAGCCCTGATCTCACCCAAACCACACCTAACTTTGAACCAAGGCATCACTTTATAATGTCCTACTTTCAACACAACATAAGTAATAGCCCCCCACACCAAAAACTGCTCAAACAGCCTCCTTTAATGGCAAGTTTTTGCAGTATGGAGTGATCCTCACATCCTCTGCTCTACCTCTGCTAAGCTTTGTGTGAGAGAGAGAGAGAGAGAGAGAGAGGAGACAGCTCCTCCCTCCTCTAAACAAAGACAACACTATGTGAAATACAGTGGAAAAACAAAGCAGGATGGCCCGTGTCATCCCAGGAGGCTATGCCGGGTGACAGTTATGAGAAGCACAGGACAGGGTGTACCACTCCTTAGGTTGGGGACAGTCCCTTCAGCCTGTTGCTGTAGTATCCATGATTTCACCCATGTAGTGCAGTTTGGCCCTGTTTTTTGCATCCACAACTTCTTTTCTTCTTCCACTACCAAAAGACTGAGGGCAGAGAACAGCGGTGTCATTTGCTTCTTATCAGAAATATTTTCAATTAGAAGCGGGTTTAAACAGCAGCTGTTTTGAACAAGAGGTGTTTTGTTTATAGCTTATACTTCTGCATTGTACCTGTTCTTCTTTCCCTTTCTGAATGGTGAATACAGATACCGCCACCTGCTGGTAGGGAGAGTTATTCCTGTCTTGCAGGTGCAGAACGTATGTGCTAGTCGGCCGTTGGCTGTAGTCTGTGCGTCCTGGTGTGTCTCTGCCCTAACCAACCACAGAAGACCATTGTCAGGGGTGAGACCACACAGCTGTCAATCAATAAGGTGATGTGAGACCACACAGCTGTCAATCAATAAATGAACGTGCTTCAGTTTTATTGACATTTCTTTGCCTGACTCACACACTAGCAAGTTCCTGATTCTAGTGTTAGCTGAGACACCTACAAGAAAAATAAGGGCGAACAGGCAAGAAAAGAAAAATGTTTGAAGAGAAGGAAGAAACACAAAGAAAACTGGATTTAGATCAAGAACTTATATAAACACTGCTTTCAATAGATGGAGAGTTGAGAAAGAAAACAAATTTACAAATGGCACTGATTTCCTTTTTGTCTGTTTTGCTTTTCTACAATTATTAAAACTCACGTAACGCTGTGCCAGAAAAACCCACTGGGATTGAATGAAAACTTGTTGCTTGTTTAGAATCCTGTAAAGCCTTCAGTAAAACCAGCTTTTACTGCAAATTTAAAAAGAACATATACCTCTGCAGTGATCATCATCCAGCTTGGCTGTGGTAAGTCCAATGTTTGGTCCTTTGGTGTTATACTTGTTTTCTCAGCCCTCACTATATGCAACATCAAACAACCTTAGGTGAAAGCGTGTGTAGGATCCTAAGCCTGACAAGGTCTTCACCAGATTGGTGTTAGGTTTGTAGAATGCTCACCTTTTACTGTGTACTAGTTCCCTGTAAGAAGACCTGCCCTAAGCGGGTCATTTCAGAGTGAAACGGTAAGCTGTAGGCAGGGAAGCATAGTGGCTAATTTTAGGATTTCACATTCATGTTACAGTTTATAGGCAAAAGCTGACAACAGCAGATAAGACAGCCATTAAGCATCATTACATTTTAGTAATATGCTGTTTACAAATTCTATTGCCATAGGATATAGGCTGTAAATTTATTGGAAAGCCACTTGTATTGTGACTCCCCTGTGTGAAACTATACTCATCAACCATATCTAATCTTTCAGTCTTTTTTTCCAGTCCCTATAATAAAGCTGTGTATGCAATATTATTAATATTGTTTTTATTTTTTATAAATAACTGTTGTGAGAGCCTATCCCCCCACCCTGCCTGTCTGTACAGGGCCCTGCCTCTTATGGCCGTGGGAACGCAACATCTGAACTACAAGTTAAAAAAACAACAGCTAAGGTGTTATGTCCTGCCATGGTTCCAAAACACATTTGATAGCTCTTTCTTAAATCATGAAGATGCAGAGACACAGTTAGTTCTCTTTGTATTTTACATGAAAAAGAAGTTACTATAACTCTGTATTAAACTTTGACTACAGATTATTCTGTCACATTATGGTTTCAGAACAATACACCATCTAACAAATCCATCTTAGTGAGTTACTGTCTTTTAATAAGTCCTCAAATTTGATCTTTTAAAATAGTATACCCCAAATTGCCAGCACTGTAACACTGTCATCTTTTTTCAATACATTTTTCATTTTTGTCATTGCTGTAGACCATAACACACGACTCTGCTTTATCCTGTCTCATTTTATTGCACAGTATCATTTCTAGAAAATCCCATTATTTAAGAAAGCAACATCAAGAACAAGTGGAGACTTTCATTTTCAGCTGACTGTTTAAAGGAACAATGCTTTGCGGCAGGATCATTATTTAACCTGTTAATAAACTCACCAGAAACTGAGAACAGCACGACACAACACAGCAGCACAGGCAGCCTCATGACATCCAGTGTGTGGATGTGTTCCTGTGGGCATCAGGTGTGTGTTTCACACATTGTGTTTTCATTTTATACATGACCCATCAAAGTGACGTCCGCTGTCTTCTGATTGGCTGGTCTGTAAAGACCAGGTAATATTCGGTACATCATCTGAGTCACAAGATTACAAAAAGTCAACAGGCTGGAAGAACAAACATCCAATTTTTACAGCAAGCAGGAGCACAGTGTCCAGGCTAGAAGTCTACACTTAATTCACAGCTTTAGCTTACTAAAGCAAATATTGTAGCCGACACAATCACCATCAAACAGTAATGTGTATACAAGCGAGCACCAAAAGCTCATCTTTAACTAATAAAATAGTGTAAGATAAAGTAAGTAGTCATTTGACAAAATATTTTAACTAGTATGGAGTGTAGTGATAGTATATTATAGTATATAGTGTATATATTGGAAAGTATACTAGTGTATACTGTATTCTACACCGATCAGCCATAACATTATGACCACTGGCAGGTGGAGTACAGAACAGGAATATTTGGATAATTGGTACGGTAGATTCTATAAAGTGTTTAGTGAAGAAATAGAAATTGATAATAAGCATTCTGAAATAAGGTTATCAAATACAAAACCAGGAACTAAAAGAGTTATGGCAGGCTATTCATAAAGCTGAGCATATATTTTTGAAATGTCCCCTAATTCTAGGGAAAAGGACACATATTAGGAAGCTTTTAAGGATTGTCAACACAAGTGTGATAAAAGATACAGATTCTATAAAAGACACTTTCAACGAGGACAGAAGATGTTTTACTGTTAAATAAAATTCAAACAACAAATCCTAAGAAACTTTGATCTGAAATCAATAAACTGGGTCCAGTACGCACTTGAAAAGTGCCAATGGAAATACTGGGCCCTGGTGATAATTTTTGTGATAGAGTTCAGGTGAGAAGTGTTGTCTTTGTTTAGAGGAGGGAGGAGCTGTCTCCTCTCTCTCTCTCTCTCACACACAGAGCTTAGCAGAGGTAGAGCAGAGGATGTGAGGATCACTCCATACTGCAAAAACTTGCCATTAAAGGAGGCTGTTTGAGCAGTTTTTGGTGTGGGGGGTGAAGGCGGGATACACCCTGGACAGGTCGCCAATCCATCGCAGGGCTTGTGATAGAGTTGTCTAAGATAATTTATAAGTGAGAGAGAGACTTTAAAGGTCTATATACTAGTGAGATTTTAGATTCTGACGATGAGTTTTATAAAATAGTATGTTTAAGGAAAAATGTAGTAGGGAATCAAATATTTAAAGTACTATTGTATAAATGAGGATCTTAATAAAGACCTTACATACAATAAAGTGCAAACAGCTATCAAAAGAGCTAAATCTGGGAAAGCATCTCAAATCAAACTCATACCAAATGAAATTTTAAAGTCACCCACATTATTATATATCTTGTGCAAATTATTTAAAGTGTGCTTTAGATCTGGTAAAATACCATCTATGTGGGTTAAATCAATTACAAACCCAGTACCAAAAGCATATTGTGACGAACCAAGGGTGCCATTAAATTACCGAGGGATTAATGAGCACAGCCTGTAAACTGTATTCTAATATACTTAAAGAATCATCACTTAGAAGATGAAAGTTTACTTGTGGAAGAAGAAAGTGAGCTTCGTAAATCAAGGTCCTGTCTTGACCAAATTTTTGTATTGTCTATTATTTTAGTAAATAAAATTAGGGAATGAAAGTCAGCCTCTGCATGTTTTATAGGTTTTCAGAAAGCCTTTGATATGGTCAACAGGAACCTTTTATCTTATAGACTGGTTGAATATGAACTGAATGAGAGATTTTATAAGGCTATACGTGCACTTTAGAGTGACCCCATAACTTGTGTGATTAAATGAGTATTATATAAACCGGTTCTCACCGTCATCAGAGGTGAAGCAAGGTGATTCTCTATCCCCACATTATTTGTATTTTTCATAAATAATTTGGCTAAGGCAATTATAGCTTTAAATTGAGGACTAATGTGTGGCGATGCAGACGGTATAGTTTTACTCTCACCTTCTGAAGAAAAACTACAACAGATTGTCTTCTATACTGAAGAATGGTGTAACAAATGGCGATGATTAACAGTAAGAAAACTGAAATGATTCACTTTAGGCATCCCTCTTCTACTCATAGTGTTAATCAGTTTAATGATGGATCACATACGTTGCTGTATGTGTAGATTCTTATAAATGTTTGGGTTTCTCTGTTGATGAACTTGTGAATTTTATAAAAGGGGTTAAGGTGTGGTGTAAAAAGGACACACACTCAGCTATAGCTGCTTTGAACCCAGGAACACAAAATACCCACACTCTCCTTTTTATTTTACGGGGTCACAGCACAAATCCATCATCACAGTGTTTATGTTAAATGTATTGGTGTTGGATCCTGGTCGGGCCAGAAGGTGGCAGTAGCGGAGCATTTTTGTGTCGTCGTCCCAAACATCTTTCATTTAAGGGTTATGGAGGCCACTGTGCACCCAGAAAATGCCTGTAACTGGGGACACTGATGGAAGGACAGCTGCTGATACAGTGATATATGAAACCCAGGACCAGACAAACTGCATATAGCTGGAGGAAGGAGTTTTCAAGTATGTGACTACAGAGGCAAGGTGGTGACCAGTGAGGGTGACATAAACAACAAAGAGTGCAGGACTGCAGACCCATGTGGCTCCATGAAGTAGAATGTCAGTCAGTGAGAGGAAAGGACTCATCTGGGGCATAAAGAAGCAGCTTCATCAGCTAACCACCAGTGAAGCTTTTGTTGAAATCATCAACAGCATTGGACTGGTTGAGGGGCTTGATTCAAACAAGCTAGGTAGAGATGATGAGCAGAGCAGTGTGAAGCATCTATCTGCTTATCTAAACTGTTCAACCTTATTAAAGCACGAGGACGAAGGACTGCTGATACTGGAAAACATGATTAATAGGGTTATCACAGGTCAAGATCAGAGTACTTGGTCTGCTGAACTGGGGGTGAGCTTGAGGTTGGTACATCTGCTGCAGCAGCAGCCCTTTGTGTGTCATCAGGTAATGCCACCTCAAAGTTTGATACAGATGACATTGATATGCAGACTCATGCTTGCCTGTTATGAGCTGTTATGTAACAGAAAGCAAAAATGCAATGTGTCTACCAACACACCAGATGCAGACAGATCACAGCCTGCTCCAGGAAGCTCTAGTCAGTCCAATTGTCTGCAGACTGATCACTAGATTCTATTCATTTAACGTTCACCATGGGAGTTTTCGTTTATTCTGGTTGGTGTTTACATCCCACCTCATGCCTGCATTAACTGAGGCACTACAGCAAATGGCTGACCAAATAACCTGCATGCATCTGAAACATCCAGACTCCCTACTCATTGTTTTAGGGGTATTATAACAGAGTAAACCTCACCCAAGAACTGCTGAAATACAACTGGACCACTGCTACACAGTAAGAAAGGATGCCTATTGCTCTTACCCACATTTAGCCTTGGGACTCCCTGACCACTGAATGATCCATGTCATCCTGACCTACAGGCAGAAACTTAAAGCTGTGGTCAAAAGAGTGAAGTTGCATATGTCAGTAGGATTTTGGATGAAGTTTTATAATTATTGGAATTCCCGTTTTAAGCTTGATTTATGGTTCCAAGTTGGATCTACACATAGCCTATGCCGTCGTAAGCATTTATACTTTGGCGCTGGTGTGTCTCCGTCGCTCTGCAATTACACCACCAAAACATTAGTCAGCGGTGGGGTTTCTTTGTCTCTTATAAGAATGGTGACTGAAACTGAGTGGCTCATGTTGGAGTTACAACTAACAGATGTTGAACAGCGGTTACTTTTACGGAAATTTTCCACATTTGTCTGGACACTTAGAACAAGGAAATGTGATGCAACCAATCAGTTGTTGTAGCCTGAGTCACCAAAACGTGTAGCTACATGTTACCTATAGTGTAAATTCAGTGCAGAACCATAAATTAAGCTTTCATTTGGCTTGTCAAATGTTCTACTTGACTGTTTACATTAAACTGATATAAAATTGAAATCCCTATATTCTTTCATTGGTGCTAACATGTAATTAGCCTGTAGTAATTTGAGATCATTTCACCTAATGTTGGCCATGCCTTAATAAAATAAGAATTAGTGTGATAATACAACACTGACTCTAAAAATCACACCATAAAAACAGATCCAAGGGCTGTCTGTACTATATTCAGTCGAAATGTAGATTTTCCCAGACAGAATGACCTACCAGGACTCCAGACTAATATTTCCTAGTGGCAGCACTGGTGCCACCAAATTTCTCGGATTATGGCACCAGCGCCAGATTTGGTGGCACCGCCTCTATTTTTCAACATAATGCAAAGGAATCTGTCTTTTTCACAATTTAAATAACTTTACCAACCAATGAAGTTCAGAGAGAGTGAAACCTGTGGAACACAATAAATGGAAAAATCACTTCTGGAACAAGTTTCCACCTCTTTTTTGTAGTCACTGTAGTGCTCTAAAGTCTAGCAGTAAACGATGACGACAACGATGATTAGGCTGTTATATTTCAACTGAAGTACAGTATAAACCGATGAACTGCACACATGCTTTGCTGTTTGTATACGAGATTTTTTTTGGAGCTTGTTTTTCTTCTGAAGAATTCCTGCTCTCTGGCTACGTCTGTGTCAGACTTTATGCACAGTTCAGCCCTCTCACTTGCCTGACTAAGTGCCAGCTCATTTTTGGGCTAAAGCTACTAGTACCCTAATCCTTAAAGAAGGATTGATGGCCACTACTAGCTTCAAACTGGGACTTCATTGGTGCGTATGCACGTAACACTATTAGGAAAATGGAAAGATCAATCAGTTTGTCCTGTTCAGACAAATCAGGCAACTAGTGCTTCACATTTTCCTCAGAGTTCTTATTGTTCAGGTGGTTGGTAATGACTTGTGCTTGGAGGTCTGAGTTATGTAAAGTTTTTATTGGTATCTTTTGGAGAATGCCATAGGTTTTACAACAGATTTAATAATTCAGAGCTCTAAAGAGAGAGGGAGAGAGAGCCAGAGGATCATTCTACAATTGTTGCCATCAGTTGCTTATATTTTCAACAGGCAAACTCCTAATCACCATAGGAAACAAAAAGAAAAAAAAAATCCAACATTTGATTTAGTAAATAACATCCAAGGTTGCATCATTCAATTATTTCAAAAAGAAAAAGGGATAACAGTTCTCAGGTTTAAATGTTTTAACATTTGCTTGGTAAAGGAAGGAGTGAAATTATAATGGTGTGAAAAGGGGAAGAGTTGCTGAGATGTTTCCACTGGGGGAGAAAAGGGAGTCAGCTGACTAACTTAACTTCAGCTTCAACAAAATCCTTAGAAAAAAGTCAACACTCAGAGCAGGACAAAGACAGGGATGGATGGATGAGGAAGGGATCTGTGCCTAGGGTGGGTACAGGGGGCTACAGCCTCCACATCCAAAAAACCTGCTTTTCTTTCAGTGTGGAGAGTTTATATATATATCTATATATAGATATATATATAAACAGCTGACAAAGGCATGTGTAAATCTATACATTTCCATTACATAGAGTTATTATGGAAGGAGAGACGCAGACTTTCTTTGTCGCTTGTCCAGGAAGAGAGGCTTGTTGGTCCTGGTCACCAACACTTCTGCAGCACTGCTCTGGGTAGAGAGCACTCAGAAACCTACAGACACAGAAACACACACAACATTACTAGCATAGTATCCACACGGTATTCAGATATACAAACACACAATGGCCCAACAACCACAGCAACAGGTTAGTGTCTCAGTGAAGGAGGTCAGTGCAGAAGACCAGCAATAAACAGAAAAAGGGATGAGTGGTACATCAAATAACAGTAGTCATCTTCTGTCAAGGTGCAGGCTATATCAAGACACAGGCATAGCCAAGTATAGGTCTTGATGGTTCTTCAGGATCCCATCATCACTTTGTATGTTTAATGGGTGTGTTCAGTAAATAGTTTGTTGATTTGTGACATGTGAAAATCAAATTACATTTTATGACCAATTCATGCAGAAAACAGGGAAATTGTGAAAAGAGCCATTACTTTTTCTTGCAGCTGTACATCGCAATGATTCCTTCAAAATTAAAAGCAAATCATTGTCTATTGTAACTCAAAAGCAGTCACCAGCAACTTCCTTGTGGTACTTGGCACTTAGCTGTAGAATACCTCTTTATTTGTATGTTGGAAAACTGTACTTGCAACCCCAAATCAGAACAAGTTGGGATGGGATGTAAAATCAAAATCAAAACTGAAAATAGTGTTGTGTAAATCTTCTGTGTCCTGTATTAGATTGAAAACAATACAGCGGCACATTATTTGATGTGATACCTCATCAATTTTACTCTGTTAAAAAAAAAAAATTCCCTGCAACACATTCCCAAAAAGTTGGGACGGTTGCATTTTAGGGCCAGTAATGAGATAAATCAATGAAATGATGATTCCATTTGAAACAGGTGAACAGGTGGCTGCAATCATGATTTGCTACAAAAGTGGCACCAAGGAAAGGCTGAGCCCTTCAGGAGCAAAGACGGGCCAAGGACCATATGCATGAGAAAATTTAAATGTTTAAAGAGCCCACTGCATGCTTTTCAGGCAGCACAACAGTGTGGTGGATAGCGCTCACAGCAAGAAGGTTCCGGGTTCAAGCCCGGGCAGACCTGGGGTGTGGGTTCTCTCCAGGTACTCCAGCTTCCTCAATACAGTGTAAAGACATGCAGCTTAGGTTGAGTGGCCACTCTGAATTGCCCATAGGAGTGAGTGAGGGTGTGTGTGTGTGTGTGTGTGTGTGTGTGTGAGTGAGTGAGTGAGTGAGTGAGTGAGAGAGAGAGAGAGACCTGCCTGCAGTCCTGACCTGTCCCCAATAGAGAATGTGTGGTATGTTTAAAAACGCAAATTTCATCAATGAAGACCGGGACTGTTGTGCACCTTAAGACCTGTTTGCAGGAAGAATGGGACAAAATGACACCTGACACACTTAATCACTTGATGTCCTCAATCCCAAAACGGCAACATCATGCCGCGGTAAATACTTTATTGTCCCGACTTGTTTTGTGTTTATTTTGAACTAAGAATAAAACTGATGAGGTATCACATCCAATAAGGTGCTGCTGTATTGTTTTCAGTGTAATACAGGATACAGATTTACAAATCACTATTTTAAGATTTAGTTTTGATTTTTCATACCGACCCAAGCTTTTCTGATTTGGGGTCATAAATTGTTCTTGGCAAAATATATTTTTGTCCTTCCCAGCTACATACACAAGATAGTCAGAATATTAGGGACACCTCTGAATTTAATGTAGTCCAGTACAACACCACATTTAATTATGACCTCATTAACCATTTATGACAATTTCACCAAAAACAAACATTTTGAGCTTCATAAACAGACATAAGGTGAAGTTTTGCATTGAATTGCATACATTTGTACAGTTCTATTAATATGTATTTGTTATGTGTATTCAAGAACAAATGAATAAAAGTCATCCAGTGCTCAGCCCACATTCAACCCTGATTAGGAAGATGGCTGTAATCCATTCAGGTCAGTTATGATTTTTTTCCCTGTCACCAAGTGGTTTGAAAAGGATTCTGTACTGTCTGAATATACTAGTAAGAATTAATATTTCTTTTATAAACGATCAGTCACAACATTAAAACCACTTGATTAATATTGTACAGGTCCCCCTTGAACCAACAAAACAGCTCTGATCTCAAGACATGGATTCCACACAATCTCCGAGGGTGCCGGCTCATATGAGTCACCAAGATGTTAGTAGCAGATCCTTTAAGTCCTCTAGGTTGCGGGCTGGGGCCTACATGGATCAAACTTGTTGTTCCAGCATATCAGACACATGATCAATCGGAAAAGGATTTTGAAAGGCAACACCTTGAACTCTGTCAAACCATTTCTGAAATTTTTTTTCAGTGTGGCAGGGCACATTATCTTGCCATTGTCACGAAGGGGGTGTACATGGTCTGAAACAATGTTTGGGTAGACAGTATGTATCAGAGTAACATCCACATGAATGCCTCAACCCAAGGTGTCCCAGCAGAACACTGGCCAGAAGATCACACTGCCCCCACCCAGCCTCCCTTAGAGCTTTCTGGTGCCATCTCCTCCCCAGGTAAATGATACATTTAGCCAGCATTTAGTACTTCAGCAATTTGTGCTACAGTTGCTCTTCTGTAGGATCAGAGTCTTGGGTGCCCATGACCCTGCCACCAGTCCACTGATTGTCCTTCATGGGACCACACGCAGTAGGTATTGACAACTGCATACTGAGAACAAACAACAAAATGCCTTTTTGGCGATGCTCTGATCCAGTCATTTAGCCATCCAAATTAGGCCCTTATCAAAGCTCCATACTCTTTACAATTGTTCCTGCTTACAACATATCAATTTCTAGAAGTAACTGTTCACTGGAAACCTAATATCCTACCTCCTGACAAATCATATAATAATCGGGGGGTTAACAGTACAATATGTCTGTTGAACCAAACTACCTTACCACAACAGCAGCATGTCAATGCATCAATATCTCAGCAGAAAACATCCAATCTATGCATCCATTCCACAGAGTTGACCCCGACAGGTGACGGTTGTATCATTAGCATTTAGCATAAATCAATATTATTGCTAGTCGAGATAATAGCTAGTAAAAAATATATGTTTATTATGGCTATAAAATTTTTATATTAGTTTATTTTTTGACCCAATATGGATCCAGTACATACATATTTCAGTTTTTCTTTTTTAATAAATCTGCAAAAATGTCAAAAATTCTGTGTTTTTCTGTCAACATGGGGTGCTGTGTGTACATTAATGAGGAAAAAAATTAACTTCAATGATTTTAGCATATGGCTGCAATATAACAAAGAGTGAAAAATTTAAGGGGGTCTGAATACTTTCCGTACCCACTGTATTTAAAAAGAAAAAACTTTTTAACCAAATAAACTGGGATTCGGGGGGAGATAAATAAAAAAAAAAAAAAAGATAGCTAGAAAAATAGAGTTACAGATAGAGAAATAAGTGGGTTTTTATATTTAATGAATGAATGGTTGACTTCTGTGATATTAGTGAGCAGGCAGAGTAATAGAGATGGAGTGATTCTACAGCTCAAGTTGGTGAAGAGTTTCTCTGTCACCGCTACCCAGAGGGAGTAAACAGGTTGACAGGTCCAATTAGCGTGGAAGCAATCATCGGTGCAATCCAGAGTGCATTGTGAACACGTATCTGATTCAGGGAAACCCATTTTAAACATTTTACCTTGCGTGATGCGAGTCCTGTGAATAGTTTTATATTGTATAAGCTGTAAGTTTATACTCATAGTCATGCAAAAAATATTATTACAGATCTCGGTCCAGAAGTCAAGACGGGGGGGTACCTTTTCCTAATAGTTACTGGTATTGTTATATCTGTATTTGACATTAGCTTAGCTTGTAAAGTTTAGATATCTTCTTTGAGTTTGTAAACTTCATTATCTCCTCAGTTAGCATGGAAGATTGTAGTGGGTTGTTGATTATATTGATCTTTGATTTAATTATGGATTTTAACTGTTGGTACTAGAGAAATTCTCCTCTCCCAACTCTGTACTTCTGGACTAATGTATTGAATGGTATAAGCCTGTTTTCAAACAGGTGATGAGGTGAGCGATTCCTTTGTTGGAAAGTGGATGGGGTGGTTATGCATTTGAAAAGCAGGGTTATGCCAAATTGAATTGAATTGATCGTATCTACATGGTATTGATGATTTAGTGGTTTTGTTTGCTTTCCACCAGGCTGTCAGAGTTGCAGAGATTGTGATGTTTTTGCAATAGCTCATTTTCTTAATTGAGTACCGTAAGAAGGTGAGGCAACTGAAGTGTTTTTGCATTGATTTTGTTCTAGTTCTATCCATGAGCTATTATAACTGTCTCAATCCATTGAAATATTGTAGCTGATTTGCTAAGAAATAATGCTGAAACTCTGGTGCTTCTAGGCCACCTTGTGATTTCTTCTTAAGTGTTGACAGGGACATTTTGGGTTTCTTGTTATTCCAGTAAAATTGTGAAGTTACAGAATCAAGTGATTTGAACCATTTATCTGTAGGTGTTGTCGGAAGCACTGAAAACAGTTATTTTGTGGTCAAGTTTTCATTTTGACTAACAATTCAGCCAATGAGTAAGAGTGGGAGGTTGGACTAGTGTTTGAAATCATCTATCTTGTTTGAAATCATCTATCTTTTTTTTAGCAGAGGGGTGTAGTTGAGGTTAAAAAGTTCTGACAGCCTGGAGAAAATACTGATACCTAAATATTTAATGTTGCCAGTGTGGAGTGGGAGGGGACAGTCTTGAGCTGCAGAATCTCAAGAATCTTCAGAGTGGCAATATGGTGGATTTATTCCAGTTTATTGTGTAGTTGGAAATCCTGTAGAATGTGTTAATAATAGAGAAAGTATCTCGTAATGAACTGTAGGGGTCCTGTAAGTATAAATCCTCTGCATAAAGACAGTTTATGTTGTGAGTTGGTATCTTGTATTCTTTTGATGCTATTATTCTGTCGTATTGCTGCTGCTAGAGGTTCAATGAAAATGGCGAAAAGAGATGGTGAGCGTCTTTGTCTGGTTCCCCAGTGAAGTGTCAAACTTTGTAAGGTTATTGTAGCGCTAGGTCAGGGGTGCC